CATGTCCTTTCTCTTATATTTAAAGTTTCTTTGTCCCTTCTTTGTCCCCAGTTCCTACTACACTACTTGGACCTATAGGTCATTAACAAGAGATTTTTGTTTTCTTTTTAATTAAATGTATAAATGCTTATCAGTAGGGGATTACTCATCTTTCAGGTCCTAGCTCAAATGATAGCCCCTCACCAGATGCCTTAAGTATTCAATCTAATGGCTTTCCATTGCCCTCTTACATCACCCACTTATTTAATTACTTATTTATTACCTATCTTCCCACCTCACCAGAGAAAAAATCAGAGCTAACATTTAAATAGCTGTGCCAGGCGCTATTCTAAGTTCTGTGCATATATTATATTAACTCTTTGAATCTGTGCCACAGCTATATAAGATGGGCCTTTTAATTCTTAAGCAGAGGACACTGAGACACAGAAGTTAAGCAACTTGCTCAGGGGCACACAGCTGTAAAATAAGGTAGTTGGAATTCAAACTTTGGCATTCTGGTGCCAAAATCCATGCTCTTAACCATTGAGTATCCTACCTGTCCATGAGTGAAAGCTGGTCTGCATCCCCAGGCTTAGAACAGTGCCTGTCAGTGTTGTATGTTAAATGCATTAATACATTGTGGTAAATTCAGAATGCCACACTGTTTAGTTAAATCATCATATGTACTGTTATGGAAAGATTTTTGTAATATATTAAGTGACCATAGCAAATATAGAATATTACATATAGCCTCGTCCTATTTTCAGAAAAAAAAAAGGTATTTACACACATGGCTTATATGACATCTACAAAATATTTATATATGTATGTGTTGGGGAGTTAGAGAAAAATATGGAAGATTAAACCATCTCCATGATCATTTCTAGGGACCATGACTGGTGGGGTAAGGGGGATTTTTTTTTTTAATACCTTCTTTAAAAAACTGTTAGTTAAGAATAAGTGTTTTCTTTATAACAATAAATGTTAAGGACAATTTCTAAAACTTTTGACAAAAATAAATGCCCTTTTTCTCTTCTTCCATACACTCTTGAATTATAACTTCAAAATCATAAATACTTTAAAAGCCCTGGCCTTTGTAAATCTGTAAATAAATAAGAGCAATTTTTTCTTACTTTATTTGAGCTCAGGTTTTACAATGTGGTTTTGTTCAGGATGTCTTCATTTACTTTTATTCTTTCCTAAGTTGGGGTGAGGAGTGAGAGGGCTGCATTCTCACAATTGAGAGCTAAATAGATCATCCTGCAAGTTATCACATAATAGCTTTATGCCATTATTGCTGATGTAATTATTATTATATGTATGACATCAGGATGTCATATCATGTTACAAAAGTCTGCGTGCTGTGGTATAACTAACTCTTGGGATTTTAACACTGAATATGTAAACCTTTGTTTTCCAGCATCTGACTTTTGCGTTTTATTCCCGATAAGGGCAGTGTTAGTTCATAGGTTAGTTGGCGTATCAAAGTAGAAAGATGTGTGCATGGCGTTTTCTTGAAAAAAATGGGCTTCCTTAAGGGTTGTTGAGCTCATTCACCTCCTTCAGGAAAGTACATTTGAGGAGCAAGGTCAGCTGAGGTTGGAGGTGTGTATGCTGATCTCTTATTATTGAAGCATTCCAAGAATGCAGTGTCCTGTACTTCAAAGTTGCATAATAAAGATGTTTGGCACCGATCTGTTTGACTTCACTTTGTAGTGTGGCCTCTCAGGTCAGGCTATTTTTCTGAGAGCCCAGAGGTCCCATCCTTGTGCCAGGTCACAGGAAGGGACATGAAAAGCTAGGGGAGGATAGGGCAGAGACCAGAGGGCCCAGGCACCCAAGAGGACAAACTTCCTTAGCCCTCACAAATTTCTCAGCCCTGCCTCCACATCAGAACCACCTGGGGACTTTTAAAAACATCCATGCCTACCTCACTCCAGACCAGTTGAGTTGGAATCGCTGGGATTTGGACCTAGGCAGCAATTTTTTACAAAGCTATTTTAATGGGTGGCCAAGGTTGAGAATCATTGGCTCACATGTAGCACACCGTGGCTTCTATAAGCTCCTGTGCACATTAGGAAGGAAGTGGGGGCTGGGCGTCCACTGGAATGAGTGGACGCACAGTACCCCTCACATCCCCGGGGAGGCTGGAACTGCTCCCATTGAGATCCATTGCTTCTCCACCGCTAACACGCTCACAAGTGGGAGGTGGTCCTGGTGAGTGGTATTGAAGAGCGAGTTGGAGGGTCTGAGGGGAGCTAAAAATCACTGATTCAAACAAGGCACCCACAGTTGGGGCTAGGCAGGTTAGGTCGGAGCTGGTTCTATTTAATCGGCCCAGCAGAGTCTGCAATATCATTTCATGATACTTTTTCTCATGTCTGTGAGGTGGGCCTTGTTGCCATTTGATGGATAAGGAAACTGGGCTGGAAAGATTGGAGGGCCGGGATCACACAGCTATTTTGTGGCCAAGCAGGACCAGAATCTGTGTGGCTACTGATCCAGGGCTCACCCTACGTCCCCACAGCAGCCTTAGAAGGCTGTATTAGTATTTCCTGCTTCAACTTACAAGACAAGTCTCTTGAATTCTTTATGGACTTTTGCAACCCTTGTGGCAAGGGGCTAACTAGTGAAAAACTGACCAGGGAAGATATCCGCCAAAGGAGCAAGGACCCACTTTTCCTATTCCCTCATTTATAGATCTTTTACATTAAAACTATAAATTCTGAGTGTTTCTTTATTACAGCAATAGCTAACGTGTGCAGAACACGTACTCTATGCTACTCACTAAACTTTGAAGATTAATTTGAGTCCTCCCATCAACCACATGGCATAGGTACTATTACTATTTTTTTCATAATACTATTATTGATACTATTATTGATTGTACAGATGAGAAAACTGAGGTTCAGAGAGCTTAGGCAACTTGCTTAAAGCCACATAGCTAGTGGATAGTAGAGCCCAGATCTGAATCCAGTTTGGGGCAAGAGCTCACACACTGGTATCCATTATACCAGGCTGAGTTAGAGCCCTGCTGATCTGAGTTCCCAGTCTGACTCTGGCCTCCTACCTTTTTCTACCTGTTTCTTTAATTGTAATAATTGTTTACACTTCTTGTGCCTTTATCAGACGTTAGGCATTGTTCCAAGGGCTTTACAAATTTTATCTCATTTAATTTCTTGATGCTGGCCCCCTCATAGAGAGGCTCTTGTCCAGCTTACAGCTGTTCTTACCACCACCCCTCTTTCTGCAAGGCCCCCTTGTCCCCTTTCTGAAGCTGCTAAAGGACTCTGTCAGACTTCTGGTGACTTCTGCCCATCTGTCCTCCCGGCTAGAACCCTGTGCTCAGCTCTTCTTCCAGGTTCTTGGTGGTGGTGTCCCAGATCGCCTCCCCTTGAGTCAGTCTGCCTCTGCCCACAGCCTTCCCACATCACCCATGGGGACACCGCAGGCCACTCAGACCATCAAATGAAACACTGGTTGGTGTCTGTGTGACTGGGCTAAGCGAGGGGAGGGGTTGCAGGATTTTATTCTGAGCTGAAGCAATGAGATCTTTGCTTGTAGAGACCGGTTGACTGAACATCAAATGAGCCACAACACCCAGAGAGCGCTCACTGTCACATCCAACTGTGAGCCTCCCTGGAGCCACTTAGAGCTCCTTCCAGATAGCTCTGGAGGATTCCCTTAGGGCCAGGTGGCCTGTCATTCACCACTCTCACATCCAGCTCTTTTGTGTTGGGGGGATTTTCCCCTCCCATTTCCCTCTGTCTGTGGTGTTCCCTGGCTCCTCTCATGGCTGGATGGTTCTAGAACTCAGGTCTCATTCAGCTCAGGATCTCACTGAGTCCTTCCATGATCACTTGTGTTTAAAGGAAGCATTATTCTTTTCTGCCTTCACCTACTCTTTTTTTGTTTGTTTGTTTAAGATTTTATTTATTTGTCAGAGAGAGAGACAGAGAGAGAGCATGAGCAGGGAGCCAGCAGCAGGCAGAGGGAAAGGGAGAAGCATACTCCCTGCGGAGCAGGGAGCCTGACGCAGGGCTCGATCCCAGGATCCTGAGATCATGACCTGAGCCGAAGGCAGACGCTTAACTGACTGAGCCACCCAGGTGCCCCCTCGCCCACTCTCTTAACATCACCTTTATTTCCTTTCCACATGCTTTAATCATCGAGTTTTTTCCTTTACTTACTTATGGTCTGTATTTCCCATGAAAACGTAAGCTGGAAGTAGTTTTTGGTTTTTTTTTTTAACTCACTGCCCTGCTATGTAGCTACTTCCAGCACAGTGCCTGACCCCTACGAGGTGCTCAATAGATATGTAAAGAAAGAAGAAAGAAGTAAAGACCCCTCTCTCATGGAGGTTGATGGTATTGACTACTGCCAGAAGCTCATTTTCGTCACCCCAGCCATGCCAGTGACCTTTTCTTACTTCCTCTTCTCTGCCTCCTTAATCAAGTTGTACCTTGCTTGGGGTTTTTGTTGCTGTTGTTTGCATTGGCTGAACCACTCCGGGCCTGCGCGGTTCTTCTCAGCTCCCGCGCGTTGAAGGAAGTGGTTGCTGTCCTTGTGAACACCCTCTTGGTGAATCAAATCCGAAGGGCCATTTGGGCTCCCAGTGAAGCGGGCCAACTGTCACTGAGGAGGAGGGGCTGTTGGTTGTGCCTCTGTGGGACTTTGTTGGTCAAATGCAAGTTGAAACCGCTAAAACAATATAACCATGCCCTAGGCAATGTACTGGGTTTCTAGGGGCATATGAGCTTCTATATTCAGTGGGTTTCCTGGCTATTGGCTCGGTAAGACTGAACTGAGCAACATAGATACTGGCATTATGGGGCAGATACTAATTCAACGCAAGAGATAACCAGCACTTGGCTTGTAATGGAGAGCAGTCACTGGGGTCTGGGGAAGGCTTTGGGAGATGTAGTCAAGGCAGTGAACGACGCAGGATCTGGATAAGTTTGCTCGAGTGTATTCTTTGGCTTAGTACTCTGTGTGGTCCCTGGCTTCTCTGTCCCCCTTAGGTAGACCCCACGGTTGCTCCAGTGGCCCTCTGGCTGCAGGGAGGGCCCGGAGGTTCATCCATGTTTGGACTCTTTGTGGAACACGGACCTTATTTTGTCACAAGTAACATGACCTGTAAGTATTGCTTGGACTCTATTTTCCTATGGAGAGGTTTTCACCTGAACCTTATATCTGCTCCAGAAAAAATTTAAAGTGTACGTGGAACCACAAGGAATAACATAATAGTTTTAGATGATAAAAACGTCGCTCTTTGGTGATGTCTGTCCAAGAAGGAGAAGGCACCAGGGTGAGTATCCTGGCTGGGCTGCTTTCTCCCTTGAAATTTGGTTGAAAGGTTCTAAGCTATTTTCTTGCAGTCTGCTGCTGACTCAAGCAATCTGAGCTTATGAAAACAGTTGGTATCTATTACTCTTTGGGCGAGCTCTTTTGCATGAGACTAATGGATGGAATTATATCCCTAATTATTCACACAAACTGAACACCGTATGGTTCAGTCGCATAAATGATCAGATATCCTGGAGGCAAGATGCTGTGGGTGGGGGTGGGGGCAGAGGAAGGTGTGGAGGAGTCACACCTGGCTGTCACCCAGGTTTACCTCCATCTCATTTTTGGGGGGTGGGGGAGATCGTTTACTTTCCCTGGGCCCGAATTTGGAGGGTGAACCATTCTGTGACTCAGGTAAAAAAGCATGTCTGCCATTTCTGTTGGAGTTGTTCTCCTTGGCATAGGCTAGGAGGAAGAAGATTCATAAGGATCAGACATTAAGAAGGGTTGATTGGATCAGACAGATGGGTTTACCCCTATAAGTAGTTGAAGAGTTTTTCCAGTTGCATGGGGTCTTGTTTCCAAACTTCATCCTAGAAAAGGATGTAGAAACCCTTGGGGTCCAGGAAAAGTAAAGGAGAGGAGAGGAGAAGAAAACGGTATTGGTGTCTATTCCCCACTGCGAGAGTATGAAGCAATGTCAGAGGGACACCCGGAGTTCATTGATAGGATGGGGACAGGTGGGCTTGTTGGGCTCCTGAACAAAGCTGGGCCCTAGATGGGATGTTTTGTTAAAGACCCAGTCTCAAACCTCTTTGTTTTGCTAGTGCATCCCAGAGACTTCGCTTGGACCACCACACTTTCCATGCTTTACATTGATAATCCAGTGAGTATCTGATGACCTTATGAAATGTCAATGTGGGCCTCTCTTGTCTTTTTTCTTTTTATAAAATATATTTAAGAGATGGGGGGCAGGAAATAGAGATTTAGGGTTTTTTTTTTTTGCTTTTTAAAATAGAATTTAATCTATTAAAAAGCATTTGGGATTTAGTTTTTCTAACATGTATCCTTAAATCTGAGTTTGGGAATTTTGCTTGCTATCTTCTCTCCTCTCATTTTAAATCTTTTTTTTTTAAAGATTTTATTTATTTGAGAGAGAGAGAATGAGAGATACAGAGCACGAGAGGGAAGAAGGTCAGAGGGAGAAGCAGACTCCCTGTTGAGCAGGGAGCCCGATGCGGGACTCAATCCCGGGACTCAGGATCATGACCTGCGCTGAAGGCAGTTGCTTAACCAACTGAGCCACCCAGGCTCCCCTCTCATTTTAAATCTTATGAAATGTCCTGTTCAGTGCATTATACCATCCAGGATAAGGGATTAGTTTCTTTCCACTGATTATATGGCTTCCCCATATCATGGATTATTATATAGTATTAGAATTCCTAATTTTTCTAAGAGAGTTCTAGGTTTAAAAAGTCAAAGCTGGTCTCCCTCATTTATCACAGTGAGCCTCACCTCGGAATAAAAAGTAGAATTCTCCTTGGGAAGTTCTTCTGAAATTGAGTCTAGTAAACAGCAAAATAGTCTTGGTCAGCTTCTGCGGCAAGAGTATCTTTACCCCCTAGCTAATTTCTCTGATTTCTTTCACTTCCCACATGGTTCAAAGAGAAAACAGATAAATAGGGAGTGAAAGGAGAACAACATACCCATTCCCCCCCACCTTTCGCACCAAGTTTTGTCAAACATCCTCTTTCCTAGTCTATATAACTGCATATTTATGTTGCCTAAGTTGAATGAAATGTCCTGTTCCCTTGTGTGTTTGGGGAAAACAAAAACAAAATCAAAATACTTAGGTGTGGTTGAGGTGCACCCCTTATACAAATTATTGATGCAAAATCAGTGATATCTTCTTATTTTTACAGCTTAGTTGTCTAGGAACTTCTAGGTATAAGGAAATATTAGTTTAAAACTAATCTTTATTTTAAAACCTACTTACTGAATATGAAGGGGCTTAGTGGCCGTATTTCTCACAAATGAAAAATCAAAACACACACACACACACACACACACACACACACACACACACACACCATCTTTTATCTCGAGCCTAGAGAGTTCCTTCTTGTCAGGACAGAGCAATGCACTCTCCAGGTTTCAGAAAGGAGACAACCTTGGGTCTTTTGATACTATGTTGGGGGCCAGGAAAGGTGAATTCCTCCCCCTTAAATCAACATCAAATCAAATCAACCACAGTGGAATCAGGACAGCTCAGCCACTGACCTTTGTGCTAATTTTTTTTTTCTTTTTTAGAGAGAGAGCAAGAGGTGGGGGTGGAGGGTAGGAGGGAGAGAGAGCATCCCAAGCAGACTCTGCACTGAGCGTGGAGCCTGACAACGGGGCTTGATCTCACAACCCCGGAGATCACAACCTGAGCGGAAACCAAGAGTTGGACGCTCAACCGACTGAGCCACCTGGTGCTGATATTTTATTTGCGCTCGGAGGAGAGGGGAGGAAAAAGGCGAAATGCAGCATCCTCCTGTGACGATGACTAAATGCACATGGGGTAGAGGCAAAAATCCGAGATCAGAGGCTTGGCCCTTTGGGATAAGGTTGATTTCCTTACAGTGTGGTATCTTCCGGAGGGCTCCGAGGCTTGTGCTTCTCTGTTTACACCTGCTTATTTATTTCACCTTCAGGTGGGCACAGGCTTCAGTTTTACTGACGACCCCCAGGGATATGCAGTCAATGAGAATGATGTGGCACGGAATTTATACAGGTAAAAGGTCCTGGATCCCTCTTGGCCTTCTTCAGACCAAACATTTTTCTATTTCAATACAGAAATTCATCCAATAGTGTAAGTATTACTGATTGGTCCTCGTGGTCTAATTCTTTAAAGACATTTTAAGAATACTTCCACATGAGGAGCTCACATCCACATGCATGCGCGTACGCACGCACGGTCTATTTTCCACTTCGTTACCTTATCACTGATGATTGTGAAAATGGCCAGCAGAGGAAATGACAGGAAAAGCTGGAATCCTAAGGCATGATTATAATTTTGTAAAAATAGCCTTTAAGAAACAATAGAAACAGCAGAATTATTCAACCAAAGATTATTTTTCAAACCTTTCAGCCATATGCCTGAGAGGATTTCTGCTTGCTTTTCAACATTGCATTTTAACTTTGCATTTGCCTGGAAACATCTTCCTAGATGCTTGCTTGTATCTTTTCTTTCTCTCTGAGGCCTTCAAATGCTGTTTTCCCCTCGCTTGCTTCTCCTTCATGACTCCCAAGCTGAAAGCTCGGTTTGCTAGCTAGTCTCTTACTTTTTTCCTTCATCTTACAAAATTATTCTTGTGCTAAAAAGAAGAAAAAAATGGAAGGAAAATGTAAAGTTGTAAGCCTGGTCAAACAGTGTACATATAATTTCTTCTTTTTCTTACATTTGTTACAGCCATTTTTAGTACTTTTTTTTTTTTTTTAAGTGAGTGACCGTTCTTATTTGGTCACATTTTTCCAGTCTGTAAATTATTACTAGAGATCAAATCCTGAATTCTTTCACATCACTAGGGCACCTACTTTAGGCATTATAATCATTTACTAAAAAAATCCTATTGCCTAGAAAGAGTTAACCAGCTCCCCTATTCCCCAGTTGCACCAAACACTCGTTCCGCATGGTGAGCAAACCCAACCAATCCCTAAAGTGAAAGTAAATCTGATAGAAGTCAGAGTTTTTTCATCTCTGACAAAAGTTTTCCGTTTTATTTTTTCTCCCTAAGGCAGATGGCTGGGGGACAGAGGGAAGAGGAACTTGGCCTTTCTTCCAGAGCTATTTCTCTCTCTCTCCCTTCCTGACCCAGAAAACAATATGGTGGCTATTTTCTACACTTTCATTTGTCCTATGTCCCCTTATTTTAACACTTCCATTCAGTTTCTGGGGGGGAGGGCTAGGACCCCACACTTTAGCTACCAGGTACAGTAGGTCCTGGGAGCAGATTAGCCAGATTTCCACAGGGGTTTCCCTTCCTGTGCCCCTAGCTCAGGCACCTCCTGTTTCCTTATAGAGACAGAGTTGTGGTGGCTATCCTTACAAGTTTACTCAAGCACCATGAGCAGTGACTGTGTGCTCTCATTTTACAGATAGGAAACCTACTCCGCCCGCCCCCCATTCCTCCCCACCCGCTCCGACCCTCTTTTGGTTTAAATCTAAACAAGCTCAGTTGTTTAACTAGCAAACACCCAGAGGGCGGAGGTTCCAAGAAATGCATCAATCCCCACTAAGCCAGAGCATGCAACCATGCCATTCCTTTTCTGTCTCTCCTTCCCCTCTCCCAAAGATGGTCCCAACTTCCGTTGACCCTCCGTGTGGTTATTTACTGCTGACATGTGGTACATCTCCTTTTGCATGACATGTAAAGAGAACCTATTTCAAAGCATCCATTGTTTATAGCTGTTTCAGTTCTTTTTGCTTCAGGCTCTTAGAACTGGAAAATAGCTAATCAAGGGTAGTGCAGAAAACTGATTTCAGCTGTTTCCTTTATAGTTTACACTATTTGTTTCCCTTTGTGACTACATTCTTCTCTCCAGCTCTCCAGATGGGTGTTTGGAATAAGAAAGTCTCTTTGAAACCTATAAACGGGTTACTACAGGTTTAAAGAGTGGACCTTCTTTTTCTCCCTTTGAAAAACATTTCTTTTTTTTTTTTTTCCTGAAAATCCCGTTCCTTTTGACTATTAATAGTCCATGGCTGTAAGGAGTAGACGCCTACTAAAGAGGCATTTGACATTCACACTCAGGCTGCTTTCCTTTGTGTTTGGAAGTAAAGTTTTTTGGTTTTTTTTTTTATTAACAACATGTTTATATATTCAAATTTTTGGTATTTGGAACATGCTATTAAGCCACAATGCCCCTTTGGTTTAGGTTAAAAAAAATAATTGTACTAAAGAATAATGAATTTATTAACTGATTTGGAGTATACTGTCTGGTGCCATTCTCCTTCTGTCACTGTTTATCAATTGCCTGCTCTGTGCCAGACACTTTTCCTGGTGCAGGTGACAGAGTAGTCAACCAGCCCCAGGGTCCTCACTCTGGTGCTTACCATCGAGTGGCGTGCCTGTAGCTAGCTTCTAGCAGCGGATGGAAATGATAGTATCGTTCAGTTCCATCTGTTGGTTTGTATAGGAAATAATATCAATTCCAAACAAAGCTCATAACAATGACTCTGACACAAATTTCATATATTAGATGAGAACACTGCGTGATTGGCACGGGCAGAGCAGATCAGGGCCCAGCCGTCCTAGCTGTAGAATGAATGGGAGGATGTGGTAGGCTGCCACCGAATAAAATGACAAGTTTCTTGTCACTGCGCTTATTTCACTTGAACTGTTAGTGACTAATGCTGTCCCTTGTTTAGCTTTTGTTGGTGTGGAACTTTTGTTTAGAGTATCTTAACCTCGCTTCTTTTGAATGTCTCATATTTATTATGCCTCTGACTCCACCAGACTCTCTAGTGCGTTATCATTTCCATCTCCCTTCTGTGCCCTGAACCCACCAATTTCCCTTTTTACAAAATTTATCTGAGGAAGACTTTCTTCCTAGTCATTGTCCCTTGCAAGCTCGGTTTCTTCCTGTTGTCCTTTAATGTAACTTTCTGCCACCAGGTGGCCTTTGACTAAATTCAACTTACTAGACAAGGCCCTTGGCACAATGCTAGCAAGGTTGCCAAATAGAATCATCTGACAGAGGCTTGCTTCCTGGGACATCTATCTCTTTTGCCTGAATAAATGCGTGGCGTGCACGCACACACACACACTCATGCACACACACGTACATTATGTATTATAGATTTTAGCAATTCTGCTTCTAAAATTTGAAACTTTTATGTAGGCTTGATTCTAGATTATATTTTTAAGCAAACCCTCACCATGGAATACGAATTACACACAGTGGAGTAAAACACAGTTAAACAAGCAAATGGCATATGTAAATCCAACTTACTAAATTTACTTTTTTCATTCTTCACTCCCATTTAAGAAAGGTCTACCAAGGGCTTGCTATGATTAGCCGAATGTTTGTTCTGATCTTCTTGTGAAATTAAAACTATAACTTCCTCAAGAGGGGGGCCTTGCCTTGGAAACATGAGCTAGAAAATCCTGCCTTTTTCGAGCTAGAAGCAACCTGAGAGGTTAGCTCCTTGAACTAAGATTGCCAGATGAAATACAGAACGCCCAGTTAAATGTTAATTTCAGATAAATAATGGATAATGTTTTTACTCTAAGTATGTCCCATGCAATATTTGGGTCATAGTTACATGAAAACATTATTTGTTGTTTATCTGAAATTCAAGTTTAATTGGACGTCTTGTATTTTTATTTGCTAAGGCTGGCAACCCTGACAACTTTAACAGATTCTCCAAGGAAGTAAGTTTTAAGCTAAAGCATAAGGCTTAAGTGAGATTTACTATATTAAATTGTCTATTGCCATTCCAACTAGCAGGAAGAGAGACAGAGAAGTAGTTTTTAGCCTGAAGGGTGGCGAGGGAAGGGTGGAAAATAAACTTCTATTTTTATCTCCACGCTAAAGCCAGCTTATTGCCAGCACAAACATGGAAGCTATATAGTGCGGCTTCCCAGATTTATTTGCTACAAAGACTTTAGTTACTATAAATAATAAATACAGAAATACACCACAGCTCTACAGTGGTCTTTAATGGAGGATTTTTATGGAGCCTTTGAAAATTAAGTACAGCCAGGATCTTGGGGATTGTAATGACCCAGTTTTGCCTCCCTGTAACCCTTGAACTTTCTCCTCCTCCTGGTTTTGCAGGGTCTCCTTGCCTTTCATCTTCACTGGATAGTTCATGGCTTTTAGTCCCTCAGCAGGAAGCTGGAACAAAAGCGCTGCCTAGCTTCTCAGACAATGCAATCTGGGTCAACACACTCTTAGAGCTTCTGAGTTTCATAAGTTTTGTTTCCTTTTTGAAAGATTTTGGTCAAGTAGAGAATCACTCAGTAATCTACCCTTTTCTTGCTTGTTATGAAATAATTTGAGTCTGTTTAAATCTATTTCAGTATAACTCATTGAAGTGGCTATTGGTGTTCTATAGTGTGATTTTTTTTTTTTTTTTTTTTTTGAGCCTAGATGCCACTGGACAGTTACTTCCAAATCTGGCCATTTGGTGGTTTTCTTGTAGACTATGGCCATTTTACAGGGTTTTTGTTGTTGTTGTTGTTGTTCTTGGGTTATTACAATGCTGAAATTTGGGGAACCCCATTAGAAATGTTCAGGGTTCCCCCATAGGAAGAGGATGGTAAGCCAATAAGGTTCTCATTACTTCACCACAAACCCAGGTTAATGGGGTCATAAGGTTTGTGGAACCTCCCCCAAGAATTGCTATAATAATAGATGAAAGCCCATATCACTTTGCTCAAGGGTCCCCTCAACATCTAGATGGTCCAGGTTGGTAATGCAGAGATTTGGAAACCTGCCCAGGGTGTTGACTCACCTTAATGGGTAAAGTAAGCCCAAAATTATTTCCTAACCATCCACAGTGTGGAATGTCACGTACATGACACTTTGAATATAATGCCTACCAGAGCTCACAGCCTAATAGCATCTTACTTCAAATGTGAAACCTAGGGGCGCCTGGGTGGCTCAGTCGTAAAGCATCTGCCTTCGGCTCAGGTCATGATCCCGGGTCCTGGGATCGAGCCCCACATCGGGCTCCCTGCTCAGCGGGAAGCCTGCGTCTGCCTCTCCCACTCCCCCTGCTTGTGTTCCCTCTCTCGTTGTATCTCTGTGTCAAATAAATAAATAAAACCTTAAAAAAAAAAGTGAAACCTATTGTCAGAGAGTTAGATTTAGTAGCATAGCATTAAACTCTTCTGATGCCATGTGATATTTTTTATTGTTGTTCTTTTTGCAGTGCATTAGTTCAGTTTTTCCTGTTGTTTCCTGAATATAAAGAAAATGACTTTTATGCCACTGGGGAGGTAAGTTGAAGTCATGTTTTCTTGTGTGCTTCCAATATCATCAGGACTGAAATATGTCATGATACTGTGATTCATGCATTCAGTCTGTAAACACACACGCACACACACACACACACAAACACACATTAATATTAATTCAGCCCATATTCAAAATTTTCTATTTACTCCCAAAATGTTTTCCATAACATTTTTTATTATAAATCCAGGGCTCCCTAAAGTTTTGTATATCACAGTGTGTTGTTAGGTCTCAGCCCCCTGCCATTTTTTAAAAACTTTTATTTATTTATTTGAGAGAGAGAGAGAGAACCCGAGTCGGGGTGGGGGGATCTGGTGGAGGGAGAGGGAGAGCAAACTCCCCACTGAGCAGGGAGCCCGACACGCGGCTCGATCCCAGGACCCTTGGATCATGACCTGAGCTGAAGGCAACGGCTTAACCAACTGAGCCACCCAGGAGCCCCCGTCCCCTGCCTTTTTTGTTGTAGTTGTCATTCATGATGATGATTTTGAAGAGTCTAGGCCAGGTGCCCTGTAAAATATCCCATTTTCTGGATTTGTCTGATTCTTTCCTCATTGCTTACATTCAGTGAAAACATTTTGGCAGGAACATTACATAGATGATACTGTGTACTTCTATTGTATCACATCACGAAGCACATAATACCTGTTTGTCTCATTATCGGCAATACTAAACTTGATCACTTGGTCCAAGTGGTATCTGCCCGATCTCACCATTGGAAAGGTACCCTTTTCCTTTTGAAATTAATAAATAATGTGAGACCATGTGAAAATCTATTTCCCCCCAAACCTGTGACCCACTAGTTTTAGCATTCATTGATGATTCCTCTCTGAATCGGTTATTCCCCTGGGGCTTATAAAATGGTGATTTGGGGGGATCTCTCATCCTACAGATATCATCTGGTATTCTTCTATAGAGATCTTTCCCTCCTCTTCTTCTCTATTATTTATTTTTTTAAATATCACTGCGGACTCTTGGTTTGTTATTTCTGCTTGATGTGTTAAAATTTTTTGCCATTATTACTATTTTTGATGTTCATATTTCCCATCCTTGGTCAGAGGGAGCCCCTTCAGACTGGCTCTTATGTCTTTTTTGATGGGGCCCAATTAGTCTTTGAGCATTTCCTTGCTTTTTGGCACAAATCTATGCTCTAGGATTGTCTTCTACTTTCCCTGCCCTAGCACTGGAATCAGTCATTTCTTCAAGGAACCCTGGCTCCTTTTAATGGGGGATGGTTTTAAAAACCAAGGTCTGAGCACAAAGTGTGCTCATTGGTACTGGGATGCCATTTCTTTTCGACTTTCTCCGGAGGCAGAAGTGGGGAACAGAACGACTTCATACTGATACCCATAATTTTAATGCAACATCACAAGTTTCTTTTTTCCTTTCCCCATTCTGTATACCCCTTCACCCACATTGTGGACCGTGTTTCCCAACAGCATCAGTATATTTCCCTCTTGGCTGAATCCTACGATATGTGCCCAATGATTTTCGATTACTACATCAGAACCACTACCAACAAGGAAACCTCCAAGTTACTTTCAATATTTTTTGCTATAATTACTTTTACCCTTAGACTGTATTTCACTATAGGTTTAAAAGTACCATGTTTAAAAGTTATAAGACTCAACTCTATTTTTTTCCTAAGGTGATTATGTTACAATTTAACATACAGTTGGGTTCACTTGCATAGGTTGGCTTCAGTTTTAGGATCTGCTTTTTTTTCATACATTTAAATGTAAGGTTTTTTTTAAGAATGTATAGCAGCCAATATTTTGAGAACACAAAAATCCCTAGGTGCCAGGTATACAGTCGTGAACAAAACAAAAGAGTTTCCTCCCTTCATACATTGTAGAGGTGAAGACAGTGATAAATGAAGAAATAAAAATGTACTGTACATCAGGCATTGATAAGGGTCATGAAAAAAGATAAAGCAGGTGAGAGGGTTGCGGAGTGATGGAGGTGCTATTGTGCGTAAGATTGTCAGAGGTTCTCTGGAGGCAGGTGGGTAGAGCACATGTAGCAGAATGAGTGAGGTAGTCGAGCTATAGCTACAATTATCTTGGAGAAGAGCTTTCTTGGAAGGAGGAACAGCAAATGCAGACTCTGAGTTGGGGACAGACTCATGGAAAAGCACGGAGCCACTGTAGAAGGATCTGAGATGGGAGAGGCCGGCAGATCATGTAGGTCCATGGTAGAGTTTGGACTTCATTCTAAGTGTAATGGGAACTCGTTGAAGGGTGCAGTGTTCACTGAAAGAGTAGTTAGAATCAAATTCAATTCAACACACATGTTTGAGGGACTACTAGGTCTGAGGCATTGGACAAGTATTAGAAATTCAGTGATTAATAAGACATTAACTCTACCCTAAATCTGTAAGCCTGGCAATAAACACAATGCCAAATGAAAAGTACAATTAGAGAGGTAGGTATAAAGACAAATAGCACAAGGAGAGTGCACATAGCTACCTCTCAATGTGGGATCCTCAGGAAGGGCCAAACAGAAGAGGGGTTACAATTAAGCTGGATTTTGAATTATGAGGAGACGTGTGTTAGTCAAGGCTGTTTTGCTTATAACCCTATTCAGAATGGCTTGAGTAAAACAGGAGATCAGCTGATTCATGGCTGGGTCTGGGTGCTCAAACGCTGTCACCAGGAATTTGTCTCTTACTCTTTCTTGATCTATTCACTTGGGTTTGCACGTCGCTGGTTTAATTCTAAGCTACGGTTTTTTCACCGGTGCCCTTGCCCCTCCACCCAACTCCAGAGCTCTAAGTATAGCCTGTCAGCTCAACTTTTCTTTCCTAATATATTCCACCCATATTCCCGAATCTCAGGCGATCCATTTGGATCCCATGCCTGTTCCAGAACTAATAACTGGGGTCAATGGGATGGACAAACAGGTTGGCAATAATGGTACCAGAGACCCACCCCAATGCTCTGGGAGGGGTAGGATCATAGGGGGACCCTCACCTTCTGAATCACAAGACCTGAGAGAGGGGGTTGAGTGAAGATGAGGGAAGATTCTGGTGATTATACCAGAGGAAGGGCTGGGAGGATGCTGGGCAAGCTCAAACCACAAATGTTTACTGTAAGGGAGTCAAGGTGAAAAATAGTCTAAGTTTTTTCAAGGGAATGGCAAGTTAATGGAACTAGGAATTTCCTTCTCTTCCACCTGCTTGCTTCTCTTTCTATTTTGAAGGATATTCTGACTGTTTGGCGTATCATACTTAACATCTTTTTTAAGCCAATTATTTGGTCAGGATTATTTAGGATCTCTACCAATCATTCCCTGAGGTAGGTTGGGCAAAGGGGCAGGAAGTGACACTCCTGTCATTTTGGAAACAACCCTAGAAAATGCCCAGCCTCCACCTCCAACAGAAGAGTGATCTGCTTACTGTGTAATTCCTGCCTTGCAAATAACATGGCGATGTTGTTAACCATGATGTTGGACTTCAGCAAAGCTGCCAAATTCTGGATGAAGAATTTGTCTATTTCATGTCTGCCTGGCAGTTTCATGCATGTAATTTCCGAATGTGTGTGGGAAAGGACAGTTTTCTTTTTACATTCTTTGCTGCCAGGATGAATACTTTTAAGGAAACCTATGCCTTCCAAGTGATGGAGGAAGATGTGAACAAGGGTGGGCCAGAGCTGGGATAGAGATGCGGTTGCCAGGCAGGACCTGGTTTAGAGATGTGGTTGCCAGGCAGCATCATCTTCATACGAACTATGTGGGATACATTAAATCTGGGGCCACATCTCTTTCTTTCTTTTTTTTTAAAGATTTTATTTATTTATTTGACAGAGAGACAGCAAGAGAGAGAACACAAGCAGGGGGAGTGGGAGAAGGAGAAGCAGACTCCCCGCTGAGCAGGGAGCCCGATGCGGGGCTCGATCCCAATCATGACCTGAGCCGAAGGCAGACACTTAACGACTGAGCCACCCAGGCGCCCCCACTCTCTTTCTAGAGGGAGGAGCACTAAATAATAATGCCTTGATGGTTCATTTTATTAGAATGAATGCTACATTTTTCCAGTCCAGTTTGTTCCTTCCAATCTTTTGTTTTAAGGCTAGGAGGCAGAAAGGAAAAGTGGAAGGAGTTCTGGGTTAATAATCAGGAGACCTGAGATTCATTGCTGGCTTTGCCACTCTGGATGATTCCAAGCAAGTTCCTTAACCTCTCTTGACTCCGCTTTTCATCTTACAGTCAGAGGGCTTGGATTTTAGATTAGATCACTTACAGGTATATTTTACTTTCCTTGATGTTCAAGCATAGTTACCTAGATGTATTCGTAAAGCATCTGTATACAATTGCAATTTTAATGTAATACCCACCCTCCTTCTCTCCACAAAAAAAAAAAAGGTTATGATAGATTTTTCCAGAAAGGGAAAGCCTTTCTCTTCAGAAATCTTAATTTCCTCACACTCTTAAGGAGGCCGAACAAATAATGCCACTAAAATAGTAGAATCATCCTTGAAAAATAAATGGTAAACTTGGAAATGGTTTTCTGCTTTTCGATGCAAATGTACTGGACCTAAATATCCTTCCCATTTGTGTACTATGAATGAGGGTTAGCATGATGCTGGAAGGGTCTGGAGCACCCTGACTTTGGTGCAAGGGAGCCTGGAAGTAATAACAATACCTACTACATAGGATTGTTTTGAGCATTTAATTAGATAATCCTCCTCAAATATTTAACGGAGTGATGGCTGTGGTGAGTACCCAACACATGATGACTATTATTACCATTCATGGTGAAAAGCTGGATTAATACATTACGGCTCCAAAGCATATGGCCTAATGCATGTAGACAAGGGCTGAGATATTTAAAAAGTTCTGCTCACTTGTTTTTGGGATGTGGCATTGTCTCTCCTATTATTTTGAAATTATCTTTATTTTTTTATTTTTTAAAGATTTTATTTATTTATTTGAGAGAGAAAGAACGTGAGATAGAGAGCATGAGCAGGGGGGAGGGGCAGGCTCC